CTGTGTTCTTTAAGAAGAGAGGATTTCGTTTTCTTCTCCTGGAGCCCTGGGTCAAAAGCACCAGCAGCCTCTGTTAGGAACTTGTGGCATTTCCAGTGGTTTTGATACAGAAATAGCACAAGTCATTCTTGACGCAACTGCCAGTGCCATGCTCTCATGAGTGAATGGGGACCATGGCCTCAATCTCTGCAGCTGGCACTTGAACAGGGCTACAGCCACGCCTCTTGGCCTCCTGATGATGGCTGTGGGGATGGGCAGACCATGTTCTCAGGAGTCCTTGGCCAAGTCTCCTTGCCTGTGTGGGTTCTGGGCCTCATTTTGTATCTGCCAAGGTGGCCTTACTTGAGAGGAAACAACAACAGTAGTTAAGTTATGGGATGTGAGTCGCAGGTAACAAGGGGCCTTTGATCTACTTCCTCTCAGCTTCTGTAGCCAAGAATGGAGTTCTGATTGGCACTTCACGATGCAGGTCCAGGCAGTCTTTTGGTCCCTTCCCAGCACTCAGTGTAACAAGGAAGTGCTTTTTGGAGCTCACTGGCAGACTCCACTGAAGACAGTGCTGGCCCCCAGCACCACCCTCCCTGCTCTTCATGTCCAACAGTTGAGACCGGGCCCACTGTGGATTTGAGGGGGGGAGGGGGTCCTCAGTGGACTCTCATGTGGGTCTTGCTGGCTTCGTGGTGCTTGGACTGTGGGAGAGATCTCCCTCTCTCTTCAACCCTCCAGTGAAGGTACCCCCCAGAGACCTGTAGTCCACACAGAGCCCAGAACAGGAGAGCTTGGAACTAGCCCTGCCCTTGGCTTCTTCCTTTTTAGCTGTTGGGCTGCAGGAAGTTAGGGAATGGGGGCTGGCCATCATGCATTTCATGAATAAGGAATTGGAAAATTAGATCTGGGCAGAAACTGACCTTTGGGATACATGGTACTTGTACAGAAAGGTCAGATACCTGTGGGGCAGTAAACATGGATGACGCTTGAGTGAAGAGGAGGTCCAGCAGTCTTAACTTGTTCATCCTGTGTGGTGGGCATGGTACCATTCCACTCACCTTGCAGTCTGGCTTACAGATTTAGGGCACCTTAAATACTCAGGGTTACACTTCAATTACAGCTTTAAAAATAGTGCCTGAGGAACTAAAACATCAGTAAATTGAGCATATTGAGCAAAGAAGCAACAAAATTCAAAACAAAGAATACGATCTGCCCTACACTGTCCTCAGCTTTAGTTTGTTATGATAAAGCTATGTTCAGTGCATGGTAAGCACCTTCAGAGTCCCCTCTCCCCTGCTCCTCTTCAAAGAGTATGCCCTGTCCACATTCGGAGAACCCCGAGGACCCCTTTGCATTACTTGGTGGGGTGCTGGCCAGCTTTGACCGCAGCTCAGGAGCTATACTGCCTGTGTTGCAATGGGAAGAGTATCAGTGGTGTGTAGCTGGCTCTGAAGAAAGAACCTCTGAAGAAAGAGGTTCACTTGTTACCACACTCACATTAGTATCCTTTGGACCAAGTGTGAAGGTGCTTTTCTTGTAACAGGCTCTAAGGCCAGCCTCAGGGCCTAAGAACTACTATGGAAATTGTCCCAGCTGGCTGTCATTCTGCCCTATGACTGAGGTGGAACTGCTGAGCAGCTCAGTCTGGCCACTGCCTGGAGCTACGCATCCCATCCCCAGCTGCCCTCTGCACACTCTGCCCTGCCAGTCCCTAAGCATTCAGTTTTGTACCTACTGTGCCCCACAGAGGCCAGAGGAAGGGATTAGATCCCTTGGAGCTGGAGTTATAGGCAGTTGTGAGCCACTTAGCATGGGTGTTGGAAACTGAACTTTGGTCTTTTAGAAGAGCAGCAAGTGTGTTTAACCTCTGAGTCACCTCTCCAGCCCCACCATCCTTGTTACCAGTGTATGGATACATTAGTAGAAATGATTGGCCTATCATGTTCTTGAAGTTAACCAAAGCAGTCCTTTTAAAGGTTGTGTATTTGGTTTTTTAAAGAGATGCTAGGCATGCCTAATGGTACCCCTCTGTGAAAATTAGAAATGGGCAGATAGCATGCTCTTGTGTCCAGCATTTTTGATACAACCTTGTTAATATGTAAGATCATTGGTCATGTCAGCAAAATTATAGCAGGAGTCACACCTGCCCTCTCCCCCAGAGCCAAGTGAAGTAATACAGGAAAAGATAGTTTACAAGCTGTGAGACAGTGTTATGGTTTCATTAATTTTTCATGTGTTTTTATTTAAACTAAACTATCCTGTTTAACTAGACATTAAGAATATATAATTGATTAATTATAGGCTAGTTTTCACTCCTAGTCAATTCATATTCTAAAATAAAGTGGCCACAGACTAAGCCCATCAGGGACCATATGTGTGTATAACTAAGAAAGGTGATGTGACTTATCCTAGGCAGTCAGAGGCAGACTAACCAGCTTGCGGCAGTCTCATTTAACCAAGAGATTGACAGGTTAAAGGCTGTGAGTTCAAACTGGAGGATAGGTAAAACCCCAGCAAGAAGCACCTGCAGTTACCTCCCGTTCAGTCGGACAGCACAGCCAGCCCCTGAGGAAGGAGCTCAGCCTGAGTCTCCTTCAGGAAGTGGTCCCCTTTAATTCCTTATCCTCTACAGTGTCTTATCCTTAAAAGAGAAACTGAGTAAACATGGAAACAATGTTGTTCTATAAAACCTGCATTATTTGTATTTTCCATCTTGTTTCATTTTATAATAAAAGATCAAAAAGGACAAAAAGGAAAGATAAGTAATCCAGTCTTTGTTCCTGTGTGAGAGAGAAAACCCCCGCCCATGGTGCAAGCATATAGCAAATAAAAAGCTTAGAGTGTACCTAGCTTGAGCCAAGGTACAGAAAGCAAACATCTCTGTAAGTAACCGAAGCCTTGCCTCCCTGATGAGGAGGAGCAGAAGTCTTGGCTAAGCTTCACTGAACTTGGTAGGAACAGGTAGCTCATGGGCGTCTGCAGGGGTTTTGTTGGACATGAAGATCTCCAGTTGCCTTACACTTGCTTGGTCTTCTTGTGGCTGGGCAGGCTGCTGTCTCAAGGCTCGGATATTTCTTGGGTTCTATCTGCTCCTACCCCTCTGTCAGTCTAGCCCTGGAGGATTTAGTGGTGACCACAGGGCCAGGTCCCAAGCCAGGGTGGTGCAGGGACATGGGATGGGAAGATGGCAGTTTTCATCAGGGAACCCAAAAGGGTCTGCATTATGGCTATACCCCTCCCTCCTTGGTCCCATCCTGTACTCTCCAGGGCAGCTGTATCTTGAGACAGAAAACCAGGGTTCTGGTGACTGTTAGATCTCTTCCCAGCCTTACCCTAGAAGGACAAGGAAGAGTCCTGGGACCAGGGATCCAGTCATTTGACCACTAAGGCCAGCTTTGGGAGTTGCTGTGTGGGAGTGGCTACAGGGGACCAATAGAAACAAGCACCTTTCTTACTCTGTGGCTCAAGATTGTCAAATATGGTTTATAAACCTAGGAAGAGGGCTTCAGGCAGGTTTTGGTCCAAGACCATCCTGCATCTGTGAGTAGAAAGCCCTAAGAATTTAGCAAGAAGCAAGGGTACAGGATAGCCACTGTTAGAGGACTCTAGTCAAGGCGAAGTCCATAAGGGCCAGGAGCTGACGTTAGGCACCTGCCACTAGTGTTGCACTTGAACTTCCCTCTAAACTTGAGTCCCTTCCAGGGGACAGTGTTCTTGCCTCCTTCCCCTGGACTCAGTGCTTGTGTGTGGGCAGATGAAGCCCTGCATCCAGGGCAGTGGGGAGGGGCTTTCTGGAGGTAGGGTCCACAGAGCCTTTGCCCTAACCCAGTGACTGTCTGCAGAGCTGCCTGTTGACAGCTGCTGTATGGAAGCGCTCCACAGTGCTGGGAACTTTCTAGCTCCACAGGAGCCCCATGCATGACACACTGCTCATAACTGCCTGTGACAGGAGAGGGGCTGCTTCATCAAGTTGGACACTTATTCTTTTATCATTAATTATGGTTTAAAAATTTTGTGTACCTTCATATGTGCATTTGGGGGTGGGTGGGTAGGTCATGCATGCTGTGGCACACTTGTAAAAGTTAGAGGATAACTTTCAAGAGTTGGTTCTGCACTTCCATTGTGTGGGTGCTGGGGACTGAACTCAAGTTGTCAGGCATGGTGGCAGGTGCCTTTGTTCAATCACTTATCCATCTCCCTGACCCTGTGTTGATAATTGAAAACTTACCTTTCCTCCACATTGTTTCTCTTGCTTTAATTTGCAATTAATTTAGTAAGAACTGAGACTGACTCAGCTTCTGCTTTAAATCAGAATCATGGTGGCCTCTCCTTGGCAGAACATGGGCACAGTGTGAGTGCAGAAGCCACACTGATGAACGCTCATGCTGCCCGCCAGGAGCACACTTTATTGGCTGCAGTCGGTTGGGTAAACATGTTTTTCAAGAGGGTGCTTATTTTACCATGGCAACAGGCTCTCCGCTTGAGTGTCTATCTGGACCACTTCTATGGCACACACTGTTCTTGAGGCTCATACATAGCTCTGCAGTGGCTTCATTAGGAGAAGGGGCAGAAACAAAGTACAGGCGGTTTGCCCATCCAAGTATGGACACTTGGCTCCTTGCATGGCTAAGCGGAGCCTTTTACTGTAGTTTCCCTTTATTGACTTTTCAATATGACGTCAGGTGGGCCATTAGGTTTGCAATAGGGTCCCTCGAGAGTGGGGCCCTCCAATTTGGCAAAGGGTAGGGAGTAAGAACTCCATGCAAGTGTGTCTCCTGGCCAGATCTGCCACTGCTCTGAGATCTTTGTGCTTGAGGACAGAGCCCCGGGATTCCCTGAGCTTTGTGCTTTGAGCCTGTCAGGCCATTGGCCAAGGGACACCAGATGCCCTTTGAGCCACCAACATCCCATGATAGTTGTCATCTAGGCTTTACAGGGAAGAAGGACCCAGACCCCAGGGCTAGCCTTGCTGCCTCAGTGACCCATTCTCCCATGTTGTGCTCTCTCCACAGTGGACGTGGCTACAGCGCTGCCTCTGCAAGTGGCCCCTGCAGCAGTACCCATGGACCTACGCCTGGACCACCAGTTCTCTCTGCCCTTGGAACCCGCACTGCGGGAGCAGCAGCTGCAGCAGGAGCTTCTAGCACTGAAGCAGAAGCAGCAGATCCAGCGGCAGATCCTCATTGCTGAGTTCCAGCGTCAGCACGAGCAGCTGTCCCGGCAGCATGAGGCCCAGCTGCATGAACATATCAAGGTGAGCAGCATCCTTGGGCTCTGTGTCATACCTGTCCTTCTCTCCAGGGTCTGTTTACCTGTGGAGTGCTGAGACATGTGGACCAGCTACCCCTGGGTGACCCCTGCTTCTTCCCCATGGTTGGTGTGATTTCATCTAGTGCTGAGGTGTGGACAGGTGACAGCTGCTCTTTCTGTGCCCAGGATGGCCAGCACCCATCTGGTGCTTAGACCCATGGACCAGGCAGGTACCTTCTGGGTGACACCTGCTCCTTCTGTCCTCAGGATTGGGATCATCCATGGAATGCTAAGACCTGAGAACCAGATAACCTCTGGGTGGCACGTGATTCCTTCTGTCCCCAAGAAGGACCCAGAGTGTCAAGATCCAGGAACCAGGTGACCCTCACCATAAGATTGCTGTAAATGTCCTCGGCCTTATTTCTCCTACAGAGGACACAGGAACTCATGGTGTAGAAGTTTTTTTCTAAAAGTGCATACCCATGTAAGAAAATGGCCCAAAGTGGCAGATACCTCAGAGGACTCAGGGTTCACTGTGGTTTTCATCAGGTTTTCCCATTGACTTTTCATAATTAAATGCCCCCACCCAAAAAAAGAAAAAGAGCAAGGAAGAAAAAACTGTTAACAAAGACCTTTTTAATGCTTACTCTCTATAGTTCCTCAATCTGATCCCAGAATTTAAATTAAATGAGTGGAAAGAAATATGCATGTAGATGTTATATGGTGAGGCTATAAGGCCAGGAATGTCTCTACTAAGAACCATGTTGAGCCACACTGTCCAGTAGAAACTATATCTGCAGTAGTCACATTAAAGCAAAAAGCCTCCCATACCAGTTGTACAAGTTGCCCACAGCTGTGTAACAGAATCACCCAACACATCATGGTTTCAGCAACAGTGTTTTCTGCAGGTCAGGGATTCAGGAACAGCCACTGGGTCCTGCCCTGAGTCTCATGTGATTACACTGTGTTGGTCAGGGTAGTCTCATCTGAGACCTAGCTGGGCTTGGAATGGAGGATGTATGGTGGCTACTCACTTCCCAGCAGTGCTTTCCCAGAACCACCTTGCCCACCCAATAGGACCAAGATGGCGCTCCAGCATCTAAGACCCCTGAGCTTGGATTGGCACTAACCACCTCTGCAGTGCTGCCATCACCAGAGCAGTCTCATAAACCGTGGAGGGTCCTGGGCAATGACTTCTGTCTGTAGGTCATGATGTGGATTGCTGAGGAGGATGCACAAGGCTGTTCCTGGTTCAGATAACACATTATGGAGCCCTTCCTGCCCTGGTGAGCAGGCCCAGCAGCAACCCTGGTTCCCCTTTCAGGAATGTGTGTGCTGAGGACATTGTCCTGCTTGGGCCTTATAAGAAAAGAGGATCTAGGAAACCTCACTCAGGGCTCTGAGAGCTGTCTACAAGTTGGCCAGGGTCTTTGGTATTTTGATGTTTGCTCTGTTAAATGTCCTGGGATGTAGGGCTGTTGCTGCTGCTCCTGCTGCTGCTCTGTTCTCTTGGGTTGGGGGGCGGGGGCAGCTAGTTAAGGACTCTATCAGCACTAGGCTCTTCACACTCCCAATCCTTTCCTGCCTGGTAGGAGAGGCCAACATCAGGCCAAGGGAAGAAAGCCTTGCTGACAGTTGCCCAGTGCTCTGCTCTGGATGGCCAGGCCCACTTCCCATGGGGCTGTGTTTTCCAGGACCAGGAGCTGGGTGTTTGAGACTGGCCTCAGGCAGGGGCCATATGCCAGTTGGAAAACAGTAGAAGTCATTCCAGGTAATGGCACCCAGTGACCCTGATGTGCCAGCTGACAGAATGCCACCTCACCAGGCTGCTTGTCTTAGTCTCTGCACAAGCCATAGCCTTACATGTCACTTAAAGGCAACTTAAAACCAAAGTCTTAGCTTTTCGTGTCGTGCGTGGCCAGCCCTCAGGGCTCCTGGCAGCAGCCTCCTGACCCAGTGTCGTCATGACCCCGTCTCACTGTCCCTCCCCTCCCTGTGCTTCCAGGTCTTGCTGCTGCACTGCACCTCTGGACAGGCCTGTAGGATGTCTGTCCTGTAACCTTGAGCTTTTGCTGTGCTTTGGAGATCCTGTCCCAGAGGCTGGTACTATAGTCAGGTTTCTGGGCCTAAGTTCCTCTCTGAAGGATGGCCCTGAACACAGGGGCACTCTGCCAGGGATATACATAGGCTAGTTCCAGGCATTTGGGTGGTGAGAATGAGGACAGGCCAAAAGTCCTCTCTGTCCTCAGAGTAAGCAATAGTGTGAGCCCTGTGGCATGAGACACAGGTTCAGGGATGTAGACCTCAGCTGGACACAGCCTAACTGTCCTGGCTACCTCAGAACCAGCCACACCTGTGCACGCACTGGCTTTCCTTTTAGATCCAGTGTGGACCCTGGCCAAAGACAGACTCAAGAGCTCTGCTGAGTTTTAGTTTACCTGTGGTGTCCTTGCCATTGAGCATTCCTCCCCACAGCTGTTTATACACAGGAGCCTTGTCAGCAGCATGCAACATGGCAGGAAGACAGGACTGGGGTGCAGTGGGAGGCTCTATCAGGTGTGGTGAAGAGTAGTTTTGTGCTTTCCTCCTGTCAGTTGATTAGCTGTTCCCATGGTTCAAACAGTAAGAGTCTCAGGAATAAATCTCCCTGCCTATGTGCGTTTTCATGGAAGTAGCAAGAAGCATAAAGAACATAAAGTTAGGGTCCCATCAGCCAGGGTGACCAGGTGCCTGGTGTCAGCTCAGCTCAGTCCCTAGGAGCATGCCTTTCTACCCTACAGTTCTAGACCCTAGGAGAGATGCTGGAGGCTTAGAACCTGGCTGTAGAGCTGGCCGTTGAGACAGGACCTCAGAATCATAGAAATTGAAGGATACATTTTTTGTGTGTTTTAATTTTTCATTAAAACTGAGATCATAAAAGCCTTTAGACTATATAATTGTGTCACTGCATTAGCAGTCCTTTGTTTTGATGGCTTAAACTCTCTTCATGCCATCATATTGTTAACAACACTTGGCAGTGGTGTTTGTCAGACAGATTTCTTGAACACACAATCTAATTAGTGTCATTAAATCATCAGTGAATTTGAATAGAATTTATAATTGGAACAGGAGTAGTTTTTAAAGTAGAACTTCAGTTGTTAATTTGGGGTAAACAAGGTCTTTTCAGGGGTTGTAATTCTCAGAATCACCCTATCCCTACTGTAAGCCCTGCTCTTCTGCTCATTTCCCTTAGCATTAATTTCTGGAATTGCCCCTGTAAAGGTGGTAGCTGTTTCAGACCCAGGTGGCATGGAAGATCAAGACAGTGGCTTAGACTAGCCACCTTGTGGGCTTGCAGTACTATTTTTAGTATTTGGAAGTATTCTCTACCAAAGAAACGCACGTTCCTAGTGTTTCTGCTTGAAAAGTAGCGTGGGGTTAGCAGATAGCAGTGGACCCTGCCCCTCTGCTACTCCAGAGCCACCTGGCTGGCCTTGTTCTCCACCACGACTTGGTACAGAAGTTCTGTCCTCTGGGGGAAGATTGCTCACGCACTCTCTACGTCCTGAATGCACATGTATGAACTGCTCCTTCTGAGCCTGGTGTGCCTCACCTGTCCTCCTGGTTAAAGAATTAAATGTTTAATTACTGTGACTTTCATGCATGCGCTGTTCAGCTAAATTCCCTAGGACAGGGTTAGCTGACCTTTCCTGTGTGGCTGTTGGTTTTTCTGGCAGTCATAGGATCTCCCTGTCTGACTATTGAGTTTCCTGTGTAAATCCAGTACCCCAGTACCCGGATTTGGGTACCCCAGTACCCGCAGGGGCTGATGGCTGGTCTAAAATGAGGGGCACAGAAACTGGCTTTCCAAGACAAAGAACTTCCTCAGAAATTGCCAGAGTGCTCAGCCTAGGATAGACACAGATGCATCCTGAGAGGCTGGGTGGGAGGCAGCTGAAGGATTAAGAGAGCATGCATGTTGCTGTGGGGCAGAGAAGAGCATCCACACTGTCATGATACAAGACCCGTAGGCACAGGGGCTTGCTGTGGGGCCGGCACTCCAACATGTTAGCCACCTGAGGGACAGGACCAGGGACACTCCTAGACCACCTGTCCTTACTTCACTGGCCTCTCTATCCTCTCTCACGTTTCCTGCATGTCTTAGTTTGTGTTACTCTTGCTGTGATGAAACACTATGAACAAAAAGCAAGTTGGGGAGGAAAAGGCTTAGTTTATTTATATTGGCTTATGCTTCCACATCTGTAGTCTATCAGGACAGGAACTTAGACAGGACAGGAACCTGGAGGCAGGAGCTGATGCAGAGGCCGTGGAGGGGAGCTGCTTACTGGCTTGTTCCATGGCTTTGCTCAGTCTGCTCTCTTATAGAACCCAGGACCAGCAGCCCAGGGATGGCACCACCCACATCAGTAACTTGTTAAGAAAATAGACTGCAGGCCTGTCCCAAGCCCAGTCTTGTGGAGGCATTTTTCGAGTGAGGTTCCCTCCTCTTAGGTGACTCTAACCTGTGTAAAGTCACTAGAAAATTAGCCCGCACAGTGCACACCTATGGCTGCCAGTGTAGTCAAGCGTCTCTGTTTGCCTTGTGGCTGTCTGCACTTCTTCTGTCATTTTCTCGGCTCTTTTCAGCTGCATTGCTGGTCTTTTAACGTAGGTGTAGGAGTGCTCTTTATGAATAAGGGACATTATTCCAGCCTCCACTGTTCATTCTCACTCGATACAGAGTAGTTACCCACTTGTCGTATCATGAATCAAATGTTCTTTCTGAAGAGATTTAAAATGCCACCTCTGTTCCCTCTCGTGCATATTTATATGTCTGTCCTATATCTAGCTTGCTACATCCTTGTGCTGGCACCATGCAGCTCCAGTGATACCCACGTAGACGTTAGTCTGACTGCCCGCCTCCCCACACCTTGTCCCTCTTGTCTGGCCTGTTTCTTTCCCAGATGAACTTCACAACCATTCTCATGAAGTCTTCACAATTATGCTGGGAATTATTTGAGATTG